AGCACAGGCGTCAGACAGTGTCGAATGGCGGAGTCCAACGGGAGCCCACTGGGCTCAGGTCTCACTTCTTCTCCTTCGCCTCACTCTTCTTGGCATCGGCCTTCTCCTTTTCCTCTTTCTCCTCTTTCTTCTCCTTTTCCTTCTTCTCCGCCTCCTCCTTCTTATCCTTGCGCGCGTCCTCCTTCTCCTGGCCCTCCTTGCGCTCCGCCTCCCGGTTCGCCAGCTTGTTGTTGATGAGGTTGTGCAGCGCCACCACGGAGCGGATGAGCGCCGCCAGGTACACCACCAGCATCTGGTCGTTGGTCTTCAGGTAGAAAGACTTGATGAACTCGCGCAGGTCCACGTCGGGCAGTAGGTTGAACACGTCCTGCAGCTGGTAGACAATCTGGTGGTTGATGGGCATGGAGCCAGCTGCCACACGGTCCAGGTAGGTGCGGATGTCACCCAAGCGTGACTGCAGCCCCCGCAGGCCATGCACCTGGTTGGTGATGCGCTGTGACAGGCTGCCCACCGTTGTGTCCTTGATGTCCCTGCATACACAACACTATTAAAACCTTTTCAAGAAACGTTCCTCGCCAATGCGTAGACACACATGGAAAACATAAATGTTAATGAACGCTGCTAGAACATTGTAACAAAAATATATACGAACACAAATAATAATATTCTTAGCTCTTTCGGTAAAGTCACGTTGAAGGGAAACAATAAAATAATAAAATATATATTTTATTGTTTTCCTTCAACGTGACTTTAATAAAATAATAAAATATATATTTTATTGTTTCCCTTCAACGTGACTTTACCGAAAGAGCTAAGAATATGAATTACTGCAGTCACGAAAGCTTTAAAACAAATAATAATGTAAAGCCCTTGGTCAAACAAATGCTGAGTGAAGGCCTCTCCACACCGTGTCGGTCACAGGGGTTGTTTGAACATATTTCACCACACTGGTTCGTGAACGTTAGTAAAGGCTGGGTTGGCTCAGGACCGGTCTAGGAATCAATCTCTACAGACTAAAGCTAAACAATTTTTTTTTGACCCGGTAAGGCCCACTGAGTTACATGGCTCTTTTTCAAAAGCAACCAGGCCACAAATGATCGGTCAGCAAAGTGGCATATTACGTGGACATTTATAGCAGTCAAATACTCTTAAACGCACGTTTCTAAATCTGGATGGAAAAACCAGAGGACCCAGAGAATAATTAATGCGACCACGGGGAGAAAATGCAAACTCCAAATATACAGGCGTCAAGGTCGGGATTGAATCCACGACCTCCTGCATACAGGTGAGGGAGTTAACATCTATTCACTGATGTTAGCCATGGACGGAAATCGGACTTAGGTCTGCTGGGTTCATAGTGCAGTGTGCTGATCACTGCCACTGCAGCACCCGCACACCAGCCATACAATATATTTAACTAGAACCTTGGGAATTACCTGAGAAGATGTTCTACGCCCACCTCCTCTGCCTCTTCTGCACCAATCTCACTGGGCACGTGTTCAAATGTTTTGGAAGTTGGAGTTCCATCCTGAACAAAAAAAACACTCATTTATACAACTTTTATAGTTAAAATATTGGGGAAAATGTGCATTGATGCATCTATGAACTTTAAAAAAGCAGCAGTTGCACGAAAAATAATCAGTGTGTGTACGACCAAAAACTGACTTTTTAGATAAAAGCCATTGGGATTCAAGACAGAATGACTTACATCATGCACTTCTTCAACTGCAATGTATGCTTCCGTTGGAAGACCAAGGTCCTTGGGTTTCGCGTCAATTATTACCAGCACCTGAGTTTGTTCGAGGCAGACAACAATAACGATGTGTAACAACAGAGCACTGAATACGGTAATAACGAACAGGTCTAGCGTATATACAATCGACACACAAAAACGATACTTTGTGCATGATTTAATTACCGAGTTGCTGCAATATCGCTTCATGAGCTCATTGATGGCGATGTCATTCTTGTGAAGTTTTGGCCCCGTGTGGTACCACCCCACAATTCTTTCCCTGGCTGTAAAAAAAATACAAACGCAAATGCATCAAGGCTTGGAATAAAGATTTGCTTTTGCAAATATAACCGAGTTTCCAATTAGAAGTAAGATAAATTGCTTGACCTATACAAATAAACGTTAACTTCTCAATAGATTTCACAGCCAAGCAACCGTGTGGCTGACTAGATGCGACATGGTCTTGAATGAAATAATACAAGTGAGGAATATTTTACAACCATCATTTAAAAAAAATCTTACTCAAAAAACTAGTATCAACATGCCTCGGTGATCAGCGGTTTTACTCGTGAATGCATTTTACACGCGAGTTCACAGCACTGCCCTCACCATTCACTTTCTTGAACATCCCGTACATGTTCTCCAGGTAGTCGTGGTCAAGGAACCAAACAGAGTCATCTTTGTCGTCCTCGTCGAATGGAACTGCAGGTGCACATAGCCTCAGGGTAAGATACGGGTTTGACTCCAGGGACCGAGTTGGTCCATGGGCTGCAGCTTACATTGTTTAGGTCTTTGTCTCCGGCTCGTAACAGCAAGGGGAATTTGATGTCCTTTACATGTAGTTGAATACAAACATTGCACCCATACAAAGATCATGGCCAGACATTATTCGGGCAAAGTGCTTTTAGCAAGCACTTATCAAGGCCGTCACTGTAATGCACACCGGACCAGGTACTCGTTTAAAGCTTGTCGACCAATGGGAAACAATACAAGTCAAGATACCGTTTGGTATGGCGGGACCCCGGGGTCCCGAATAAACGGAAATCAAAATCGTCATTACTTGACTTTTGGCGACTTCGTCTCACCGCGCAGATAAACGCCGCGACCCACCTGGCGCGGATCATTCTGTTGTCATGTCAACCAAGCGCAGCGAGGACGAATGCGCAGAAGAAACAAAACTTTGAAACTTTTATTAGCGGATCGTGTAGAGCTCGTCGAGAGGAATAGATCGCCGTGTCGGTCGTCTTCAACAGACATAAAATGACGTCGCAACGCAGTTTATGCGAGAGCCGGGAGCTTATGGGGCCCCGGGGTCCCGCCATAAGGTTCACATGGCTGGGAATCAAACCCAGGTTGTTGAGTTTGTAGAAGTGCCCTAAAACTGACGCGCCATTAAATTTAAGCTTCAAGAGCGACTTCATTATACGTTATGCTTTTCCCTCATGTGACGAGACAAAGTGACACTGTCAGAGAACGTCCATTGAAAATATTACGTATCACATTTATCCACAGAATTATTAAATGACTTCAAGAGGCCTATATTTAAATTACTGGCATACCTCGTCGCGTTATTTAAAGTCGCATCTAATTTAAACACACATTTTACAATCTAGAGAACTTGGCGAAGAAAAACCCTATAATTTAACTATGGGTTTTTGTGCAGTCATAAACTCACTACACTTGACCGTACAGTACAAAACAAAGTTTTGGTACCTCGGATGGTACTGACGTAAGCAATATCCGATTCATTGACAATGTGGCGCCCCCGCTTTGAATGAAAAGGCACTCACCGGCAAAACTGTTGGATACGTCCAGGACTCCCTTGTACCAGGAGCCGAGCAGGACGCCGACCACTCGCTTCTGGTTTCCCACCTTCCCGATCCTGTGGGACAGGAGACAAACGCGGCCCGGGAGATGAGGAGGCCCACGATGACTCGGCATTCACGCTATCAGTTTCCCCCACGTCCAACACGCCCGCACGCGTGGCGGGTACTCGCCGACCCCGTGTGAGTAACCGAGAGGCAAGCCCCGGGGTCTCAGGGATCCTTGCGGACTCGGGGAGGGACGGTGTCTCGGGATCCGGTGACCCACGCGGGCCTGGCTTCGCCCGTCTCCCGAGCTTACTCCCCGGGCACCGAGGGCCAGGCAAGACGCAGGTCAAGTCGGGGGCCTCCTCGCACAATGCGCGAAGATCGCGACGGCGCGCCAGCGGTACCTGTTGAAGTGGTCCACCACGCTCAGCAGCACCAACGGGTGCACCACCACCTTGTCCACCGTCTGTTCGGGCATGGCGAGGCGGTAAGGGGGCGGTGAGGAGACGGCGAGGGGATGACGGGCGTGGACACCACGGACACGGGTCTGCCCACAGCGACTGCGCATGCGCGGCTGGAAGCCGCATCATACTTCCCAGAGCGAATAAACGCGGGCCGGATCCGCTAAGCCAATCGGACGCGAGCTCCGCGACACCACGTGAGAGCCTTTAACCATCCCCCACGGACGAGAGTCGGCCCCGGTGCTTGTGCCGAGTAGCGAATGTAAGAGCCGGCCGCACGACTACGGGTGCCGCGCAGCGACCAATGTCGATTGGTTAATCTGAGGGGCGTGAGCACGTGGGCCCGGTTACAATGACTCGTCTGATGCATTGTTTTGACAAGTGCGTTTAACTTCAAAAACAAAACCAACATTTTGGCCGGGTACATACCCGTCAACCGCTTACCAGTGCTCTACCTTGCTACAGACCAATTCAGAACTCATTGGTCACCCCGTGCCCTTATAAATCTCAACGTTCATCCTACAAAGTGCCATCACAAGGCAGCAACACAGACATAACAAATGTTTTGTCGTATTGAAACTGTACGCCGTATGGACCTGAAAACTCAATTTTCCTGTACAATACTACGGATAAACCGTAAGGGTTGAGAGATAAGTGCAAGGGTTTAAACCGCGAGACATCTGCATGTTATGGTAGGGGTGCAGGGTAAATTGTACGACCCAGTGGTGTGCATCACTCACGTGTTCAGCAAAGTGCGATATTCCTTGTATGCAGTTATAGATTACACGTTTATATGTCATTACTTGATTACTGTGTAAATTCAGACCGTGGACACTTTTGTAAACGTGTTCTACCTCAAGCGATTTTCTAGGTGATTAAAAAAAAGATTGATCATGATGGCAGAGAGGTATTCCTACAGCAGTGGCTCAACCATGGCTGATGATGAATAAAGAATATGATGAGTCGGCAATGATGGTTGAGTGAAACGATACTGAATGACAAGTGTTGAATTGTTTATTTAGAAGTAGTTTCTTGTCAACAAAACTGGTAACTAAACAAGTGATCAAATGCCATTCTTAAATATTCAATGTTATTTTGACAACGCTTAGCTATTCCATTGTTGCTCAAACTCGTGACAGAAATGTTGCTATTCCAAAAAAGGTTAAGGATTAAAGTAAAAAAAAATGACATTCCATCGATACAACACCAGCAACCAGCAGCCACAAGAACTCACAAATCGCGGAGCGTTAACCAATCTTTACACACGGACATCCCAGCCGTGAATCTGCGCGTTGTTATGCACAAGGGTGGGCTCGGAACGGGGGTCCAAACGCGCTGGTCTCCATCACTTCTGTTCGCGGAACTTGTACTGCAGTTCACTGACGTCATCTTGAGAAACCTTAATCCAGCCAGTCTGACACATGTGATACACTGCCGGGAAAAGAGCAACCACACACAGCCAGCACGTATTAGCAGTGCAATTGTAAACAGTCCTCTCGTATGTAAAACCTATAGAAGCTACAACTCACCAACCCGCATTAACAGGTCTAAATGAGAAAACGGCTATTCATGTCTGAAACGATCTATATTTACATATATGTCATATGCATATATATTTCTGTTCAATCATTAATAATAGTGGTGGGTTTTCTTGATTTATGTTCATGCATCACCACAAATACAGTCCTTAGCACCATATGTAATTAAGAACACATCTCTATTACTTACATTATTCATCGACATTACTTTGCACTGTGCTTAATACAATTCTTGATTATGTGTTAGCAATAAAGTGGGGCCCTTACAGTTTACGACGCCACCAGAATAGGCATCACGGTGAGTGGCGCTAGCGATGGCACGCCGACCCAGGTCGTAGGCCTCTTCCTTGGTCAGGTCCTCGCGGTAACCGCTGTCCAGAACACCAAAGGCGTACGGCGAGCCAGAGCCCACCGCAAACATCGAGCCTGGCAGGCGCATACCCTCATCGTCCACGTAGTACAGACCCGGACCCTGCATTGACACAAATTAAACATGAATTTTTGTTGAACTTCTTTAGCTCTGTACGTAGCAAACCATGCTCATCGGAGGTGCGGGGAAAGGACAACAAACTAAACAGAAAAAAGCAGTTCTTATTAACTGTTTTCATTTCTTGAGACAGCTTTTTTAATCAGACTGCAAAAAAATCAACAAGAAATTCCAGCTTCATTGCTGGCTTTCAAGTGACCGTATCTATGCCTGCTGAAGACATTGGAATCACAATGTGCGTCTCACCTTCTTGTCCCAGCCACAGATCATGGTGCCCATGGAGAGGCCCATGCCTTTGTACTGGTAAACCATGTTTGCCAGCAGCTTGGAAGCAGCTGCCACAGAGATGCGCTCCTTGTTCCTTAACTCGTAGATCCTAAAAGGGGACGAATAAAACATATTAAACACTCTCTCCCTTTAAAAAGAGACAGCTGCTCTCAGCGGCCTCTTACCTGTTTATATATATGAAGAAAATATATGTTTTATATACATCTCCCACAACAGGTGGAGTAATGGGGTTGTAGTAAGCACACTTTGCTTTAAATCAAGCTACATGGGTTTGAGTCCTCACCACAGATTACATATCTGAATTGGTTATGGATCCCATTTTTCACCAACCTGCAATGACCAGTGTGTTAAAGTATGATCAAACAACCCATTCGACCAACATCGCTTGGGAAGGCCTTCATCCAGCAGTCGATTGACAAAAGGATATCATCATTATATTCCACACAATTACTACTTGAAACGATGAAGGGAGTTTGACTGTCAGTTATGAACACAAACCCACCTGCACTGCTTGGCAAGGACTCGCTCCCAGTACATGCAGTCAGCTGCTCCTCCAGCCATGGTGCCCAAGAGGTATGGATTAATCTCAATCACCTTCTTCACAGTCTGTGAAGCTGAGACGAGGAGGCATGGTCAGTTTTTTTACAAAGATACATACATATAATGCATTTCCAATTCACTTTCATTTTAAATTATATGCTGTTTTTTAGTTGGATAATCAATATGGATAAGAAATTATACAGCCTCCAAAAAATATATTCTGCTCACATCCAAGATAAACATGTATCTATTACATATTTTCAAATAATTCAGGCGTCCGTGAATCGAAAATGCAGTATGCTTATTAAATAAGTGTAATATCTTCCCATATATCTGTTGTTTTGTGTGTATTGCGTGCTTTCAGATGCGCTTCTGCGGAGTCTGGAAAGATCTTCCTTCCAATATTAGGAAGCCACCGGAGCTATGCACTTTTAAATCATCATCTAGATTGACAAACTAATTTCTTTGGAACTGCTTGTTAAGTTTTTTGTCCTTCCCCCGCACCTCTGATCAGCATGGTTGGCTACGTATGGTGTGAAAGAAGTTCAAAATACATAAACAGTTCTCAGATATGAACGTTGCTGGTATTTATTTTTATACCAATACAAATCAGTGGCGCTGTGAAGAAAGCTAACTAACACTCCATTGTTTTTCAGAATATACAAAAAGGGAACCCGAGTACACTATCACGTCTTTATATCAGTTACCATGTCAGATATATAACCCAGAGCGCCCGGGTGATGGAGCCCTCACCGATGTAGGAGCCCGCGGTGGCTCGCGAGTCGACGGCCACGATGACGCCGTGCTGGAACTTGAAGGCCAGGGTGGTGGTGCCGTGTTGGAACTGGATCTTCACGTCGCTCTCGCCCGACGCGAAGGGCCGCAAGAATTCCACAGGCTGTAAACACGGGGACAGGGTCAAAACGATGTATGCACAGCCCAGGGGAAAACACAAAATCCGGATAAAAAAATATATAATCCATAGTACGGATATAGGCAGAGGAAAAACATAGATACTATCCACAAAGTCCAGAAAATTAAGATCATTGACAGTCAAGACTCATGCACAGTCCACGGACAAATGCAAACCAACAAACACCCTGTCCAGAGAAATAAGCAACCCAGAAACACGTAATACAGTATAATTAAATGCATGGTCCACAGATAGAACCATTGTGCACGGACAACTTACACGGTCCACAGAAAATCCAAAACCCAGAAACAGCCACACAGCACAGAAACAGTCTAGAGAGAGAGACGCACGGTCCAAAGATTCCCAGTCCGGACACAGTGTACACAACTCGGAGACCACCACGTTTCTGAGGGGTCTTGCCACACGCAAAGAGGAGGCCACGTTGTGGAGAAGCCAGCCGCGACACGGCTGAGCCGCACGGCCACTAGCAGCAGACACAGCGGCCTGCTCCGAGCGGGACTATCCCAACAGAGGCCCCACCGATCTCCCGCACGTTAACTATAAGTCGTTAACTCGTAACAGCTACACATTTGCAACACGTTACCGCGCGCTAATATCCACACTCGAGCCGCAGCAGCTAAGAGACTGTGCGGCAAGAGTCCCACCGCTAGTCACGACATGCCGGCCGGGCCTCGACGGCCAGGCCCCAGGTTCCCCTCGCCCGCCCGCCCGCCTCGCGTCGCGGGGACTCACGTCCTCCCCGGGCGGCACGGCGAAGCGCGGCTCCGAGAAACAGCCAATGTCGAGCTCGTGGAGCTGCATGCCACGGTTCCCGCCGCGAGCCCCGAGGCCCGGCAGGCTTTCTGCACACTCACGGTAGCCGCACACGTCCGCCAGCGCCATGACTACAGCAGTGAGTGGTGGTGGTGGTGGGGGGGGGCTGACGAGGTCGACTGCCCGGCGTGACCGCGAGGGGGCGCGCGCCTGGGCACGACGTGGCCTCGGGGGTGGGGGGGGGATGGTGGAGTCGCTGTGTTTACAGGGGCCACCAGGGGCCGCACTGAAGGCCACCAGGGGCCACACTGAAGTATACCAGGGGCCACACTGAAGGCCACCAGGGGTCACATTGAAGGCCACCAGGGGCTACACTGAAGTATACCAGGGGCCGCACTAAAGGCCACCAGGGGCCACACTGAAGGCCACCAGGCACCACACTGAAGGCCACCAGGGGCTACACTGAAGTATACCAGGGACCACACTGAAGACCACCAGGCGCTACACTTAAGGCCACCAGGGGCCAGACTGAAGGCCACCAGGAGACATACTGAAGGCCACCAGGGGCTACACTGAAGGCCACCAGGGGCCACACTGAAGGTCACCAGGGACCGCATTGAAGGCCACCAGGAGCCGTACTAAAGGCCACCAGGGGACACACTGAAGGCCACCAGGGACCACACTGAAGGCCACCAGGGACCGCACTGAAGGCCACCAGGAGCCCCACTAAAAGCCACCAGGGGCCACACTGAAGGCCACCAGGAGCCGCACTAAAGGCCACCAGGGACCACACTGAAGGTCACCAGGGGCTACACTAAAGGCCACCAAGAGCCGCACTAAAGGCCAACAGGGACCACACTGAAGGCCACCAGGCACCACACTGAAGACCACCAGGGGCTACACTGAAGGCCACCAGGGGCCACACTGAAGGCCACCAGGGGCCACACTGAAGGCCACCAGCAGCCGCACTAAAAGCCACTAGGGACCACACTGAAGACCACCAGGAGCCGCACTAAAGGCCACCAGAGACCACACTGAAGGCCACTAGGCACCACACTAAAGGCCACCAGGGGCTACACTGAAGGCCACCAGAGGCCACACTGAAGGCCACCAGGAGCCGCACTAAAGGCCACCAGGGACCACACTGAAGGCCACCAGGCACCACACTGAAGACCACCAGGGGCTACACTGAAGGCCACCAGGGGCCACACTGAAGGCCACCAGGGGCCACACTGAAGGCCACCAGCAGCCGCACTAAAAGCCACTAGGGACCACACTGAAGACCACCAGGAGCCGCACTAAAGCCCACCAGAGACCACACTGAAGGCCACTAGGCACCACACTAAAGGCCACCAGGGGCTACACTGAAGGCCACCAGAGGCCACACTGAAGGCCACCAGGAGCCGCACTAAAAGCCACCAGGGACCACACTGAAGACCACCAGAAGCCGCACTAAAGGCCACCAGGGACCACACTGAAGGCCACCAGGTACCACACTGAAGGCCACCAGCGACCGCACTGAAGGCCACCAGGAGCCGCACTAAAGGCCACCAGGGACCACACTGAAGGCCACCAGGCACCACACTAAAGGCCACCAGGCACCACACTGAAGGCCACCAGGGACCACACTGAAGGCCACTAGGAGCCGCACGAAAGGCCACCAGGGACCACACTAAAGGCCACTAGGCACCACACTAAAGGCCACCAGGCACCACACTGAAGGCCACCAGGCACCACACTGAAGGCCACCAGGCACCACACTGAAGACCACCAGGGGCTACACTGAAGGCCACCAGGGGCCACACTGAAGGCCACCAGGCACCACACTGAAGACCACCAGGGGCTACACTGAAGGCCACCAGGCACCACACTAAAGGCCACCAGGCACCACACTAAAGGCCACCAGGCACCACACTGAAGGCCACCAGGGACCACACTGAAGGCCACCAGGGACCGCACTGAAGGCCACCAGGAGCCGCACTAAAGGCCACCAGGGACCACACTGAAGGCCACCAGGCACCACACTAAAGGCCACCAGGCCCCACACTGAAGACCACCAGGGGCTACACTCAAGGCCACCAGGGGCCACACTGAAGGCCACCAGGAGCCGCACTACAGGCCACCAGGGACCACACTGAAGGCCACCAGGCACCACACTGAAGGCCACCAGGCACCACACTGAAGACCACCAGGGGCTACACTGAAGGCCACCAGGAGCCACACTGAAGGCCACCAGGTGCCGCACTAAAAGCCACCAGGGACCACACTGAAGGCCACCAGGAGCCGCACTAAAGGCCACCAGGGACCACACTGAAGCCCACCAGGCACCACACTAAAGGCCACCAGGCACCACACTGAAGGCCACCAGGGACCGCACTGAAGGCCACCAGGGGCTAGACTGAAGGCCACCAGGGGCTACACTGAAGGCCACCAGGGGCCGTACTGAAGGCCACCAAAGCCGCTCTAAAGGCCACTCGGGGCCGCCAGTGGTCCCACGAGCCTTGGCATGAAGAACATTGAACTATAATAATAGGGGGTTTACCCTTTTTCTGGCAACAAAACTGAAACCTTATTTTACAACGATTCATGTCTGTATTAACCACAATACCTGCAGTCAAAATGCAAATAAAAAGCATACTATGATAATATATGCATTGTCCTTGAAACTAATTGTCCATCCCTTGGTGTGGACCAATCAGTTTCAAGGACAATGCATATATTAATATATTATCATAGTATGTTTTTTTTGCATTTTGACTGCAGGTATTGTGGTTAATGCAGACATGAATCATTGTAAAAAAAGGTTTCAGTTTTGTTGCCAGAAAAAAGTGGAAAAACGCTATTATTATATGTTGGTACTGGCAAAGGCGGTCTAATGATGGACATTGAACTAATCTAAACTTTCAATTTGTTTTACAAGGTAAGGTGCCCAGAAACACCCAACACTGTCAACACCGCGCTGTTAACGCTGTGATATGTATGTGTGACTGAACGCGATTACAATACTTGAATTGAATCAGAATATTTATACTGGAGGAATCCGATGAGCTATTAAGCTCTTTTGCACAGACGTCCAGTAGGAGCGGGTCAGAAAGTTACAAAAACAAACAATACAAAAAATACGATTGGAGTGAAAAGTACAAAAAAGGTAAACGAATCACCCACAATAATACGAATAAAACGAAACTTTCCCCATCCTAACAGGCAAAGCCGACTGAGGTATGAACGTATTTTTCAGAAGCGACCTGGCCACAAATGATAGCTCAACAAAATGGCTTATCACGTGGTAATGTATAACTGCAAAACAAATCTAAATCATCTCAATGTATGTTTCTAAATGTGGAAGGAAAACCGGAGGACCCAGAGAAAATGAGAGCATGATTATCATGAGAGCAGTGTGGTGATTGTTGGGTGAGTTTTAGTGAGTCGGTAAGTGGGTGACAGAGTGGATATAGTGAGGGTGTGAGTGGGTGACTGAACGTGTTGTAGTGACCTGCAGTGTGGTGAGTGTGTGAGTTAGTGAGAAGGTGAGTGTGTTGATGTGACCTGCAGTGTGGTGAGTGTGTGAGTTAGTGAGAGGGGGAGTGAGTGTGTTGTTGTGACCTGCAGTGTGGTGAGTGTGTGAATTAGTGAGGGGGAGTGAGTGTGTTGTTGTGACCTGCAGTGTGGTGAGTGTGAGTTAGTGAGAAGGGGAGTGTGTTGTTGTGACCTGCAGTGTGGTGAGTGTGTGAGTTAGTGAGAAGGGGAGTGAGTGTGTTGTTGTGACCTGCAGTGTGGTGAGTGAGTGAGTTAGTGAGAGGGGGAGTGAGTGTGTTGATGTGACCTGCAGTGTGGTGAGTGAGTTAGTGAGAGGGGGGTGAGTGTGTTGTTGTGACCTGCAGCGTGGTGTGTGAGTTAGTGAGATGGGGAGTGAGTGTGTTGTTGTGACCTGCAGTGTGGTGAATGAGTGAGTTAGTGAGAGGGGGAGTGAGTGTGTTGTTGTGACCTGCAGTGTGGTGAGTGAGTGAGTTAGTGAGAGGGGGAGTGAGTGTGTTGTTGTGACCTGCAGTGTGGTGAGTGTGTGAGTTAGTGAGAAGGGGAGTGAGTGTGTTGTTGTGACCTGCAGTGTGGTGAGTGAGTGAGTTAGTGAGAGGGGGAGTGAGTGTGTTGATGTGACCTGCAGTGTGGTGAGTGAGTTAGTGAGAGGGGGGTGAGTGTGTTGTTGTGACCTGCAGCGTGGTGTGTGAGTTAGTGAGATGGGGAGTGAGTGTGTTGTTGTGACCTGCAGTGTGGTGAATGAGTGAGTTAGTGAGAGGGGGAGTGAGTGTGTTGTTGTGACCTGCAGTGTGGTGAGTGAGTGAGTTAGTGAGAGGGGGAGTGAGTGTGTTGTTGTGACCTGCAGTGTGGTGAGTGTGTGAGTTAGTGAGAAGGTGAGTGTGTTGTTGTGACCTGCAGTGTGGTGAGTGTGTGAGTTAGTGAGAGGGGGAGTGAGTGTGTTGTTGTGACCTGCAGTGTGGTGAGTGAGTTAGTGAGAGGGGGAGTGAGTGTATTGCTGTGACCTGCAGTGTGGTGAGTGTGTGAGTTAGTGAGATGGGGAGTGAGTGTGTTGATGTGACCTGCAGTGTGGTGAATGAGTTAGTGAGAGGGGGAGTGAGTGTGTTGTTGTGACCTGCAGTGTGGTGTGTGAGTTAGTGAGAGGGGGAGTGAGTGAGTTGTTGTGACCTGCAGTGTGGTGAGTGTGTTAGTGAGATGGGGAGTGAGTGTATTGCTGTGACCTTGCAGTGTGGTGAATGAGTGAGTTAGTTAGAGGGGGAGTGAGTGAGTTGTTGTGACCTGCAGTGTGGTGAGTGTGTGAGTTAGTTAGAGGGGGAGTGAGTGTGTTGTTGTGACCTGCAGTGTGGTGAGTGTGTGAGTTAGTGAGAGGGGGAGTGAGTGTGTTGTTGTGACCTGCAGTGTGGTGAGTGTGTGAGTTTGTGAGAAGGTGAGTGAGTGTGTTGTTGTGACCTGCTATGTGGTGAGCTCTGAAAACGGCTGGAGGACTCAATAGGTTAAGTTCGCGAGAAAGGTAACTATGTTAGTGGTAGCGATGTTAAGAGCGACAGGGAGGCGTCTGGCCGCTGGTGAGCGAGTGAGTGGAGTGAATCGGTGAGTTCTGGATCATAGAATATCCTGATGGCTGCTTCATTCTGAAATCTGTCCAGCGCAGTGCAGTAGGAGAGGACAGAATCGTCATTCTAACTTTGGCAGAATGGGTGGTTTGGCAAAGCAACCGAGACGACGCCGTCACAATGTGTGTTGTCGTACAGCAGCAGCAGCGTTAACTTTTTCCGAGTTAAAAGACGGCTTTGGCACAAAAGATGAAGCCAATCGTCTTTGATGTCTCCTCTGCGTTATGGGCAGAGAGGTGCAATCGGTGTAATGGGCAGTAGAGGGCAGCACCTAACCAGCCATGTTGCTACAACTCCCCCAACCACCTTGCAGCATGGTGAAGTATGGCCAAATACGTATCAAGGCCAAAGGAATGCTCTCATCCAGCAGTGGATTGACAAACACAAACTTGTACACCATAGGTTCGTGTGCCTCACCGCAGCCGCTAGGGGCCGCTCTACATTCCGCAAACCAAGTAATCCGGTCTTTTGTTCACCACGGGTGCAACATTGAACATCATAGAACACGTTTGGCGGGTGTGCAACCTCAGATGAACTTCATTGGTACCAGGAAGGTCTTCTTCGCCCTGGACTCAAACAGGGACAAGGGAGTCACAGCACGCATGTCTGGGGGAAGCGAGCTTCAGACTATTTTTTTTTTTACAGAATAGGTTACACGCTTGTAAATGTTACGATTATAACCGCCGGTGTATTATCAGTTAATGTTTCCACGCAGGCGTGAAATTAACTTGAAGACATCATCTTGTACAAGTGTTGTAACCTCTTCACACCTGGATGGGGACGACAGCTCAGTGACTAATCCCTCCGCGATCCATCTCATGACATGGAAGCGTGATATCCTGATGACGGCCGCTCAAAAATCCCATCAAAAGCTCATTTCCTTTTATGGGCAAATCCTCGCATGCATCATCCGCCTCGGAGGAGTTTGACGGCCCTGGGTTTGGGCGGTAGGTGGCCACGAAGTTTCCGAGTCGAGTTCAAGTCCCCCTAATGGGGTGTGTTTGTAGCCACGCAGGTACACAGGGGCGTGACCGCTGAACTCTTCGGCCGCGGATGTCAGCTCCTGTTCCCCGCGCCTCTTTGTAACCGAACTGTCTGGCCAGAGTATTTGTAGGGGGGGGAATTTCCCCATCAATAGCAACGAGTACAGACAACTCCGCCCCTGGGCTTAGCCGGGCTCACGTCACACACCTGGGTGACGTCATGCAACCATGGCGCATGTGTAGAGTAAAATAATATTAAATTAACTCCTGCCATCTATATATACACACACGGTAGAGTGGGTCCACCTCGCTTCCGCCCGTGGGATTCGCGCCCGTCCTCCGTGCCGTGGGAGTGAGCGAGGCCCGCGATGGGGACGATGGTGATGATGGTGGCGGTGGTGATGGTGATGGGCGCGTGGTCCTCTGGGGCAGTACCTACGGCGCGCTGGCCAGGTTAGTGGAGCCGAGTTGAGCCACACAGCTTACAGGTGGAGCCACACAGCTTACAGGTGGAGCCACACAGCTTACGGATGCAGCCACACTCAAGTGGAGTCACATACGGGTGGAGCCACACACACACCTGGGCGCTACAGGAAACGCCCGTCATGCAGACGCGCTTACGGGTAGTGCTCCACCGTGCTGAGTTTTTTTGCGTCAGCAGCCGAGCGGAATTAAGTCCGTGGAGTTAAAGCGGCTTTTATAGTACACGTTTGTTTGCGTTGGCGAAACGTCGTACTCAGATTGTTCGTGTTGTGGATTTGCTCTCCAACCCACCGGCGTGCTGTACGAGTAACGAATTGGCACGTTCTGTTTACGTGACAAACCTTACTAATTGGCAGTATCGGGTAGCGGCGGGTTTAACGACACATTGATATATTTACGCGATCTAACCCCAGAAAACTGTACTATGAATGATATTGCTCGCGAAAGCCTCCTGCGTGTTAAACTCAAGTGGCTTTTGTTTGAAAGAAGGACCACATGATAGCGTACGACGTTTCGGTTGCAACACAAGCAGCCATCATCAGGTACAGAAGAGCTAAATTTACGAGAGAGAGAGGAAACACATAACCCCAGATGTATATACAGACACCCAAGTAGGGGGAACTAACACAGATACAACAGGGGACGCAGAGAGAGAATCACACCAAACAAACAGGGTTTAGCAAAATTTGGTCTGTTGTATCTGTGTTAGTTCCCCCCTACTTGGGTGTCTGTATATATATCTGGGGTTATGTGTTTCCTCTCTCTCGTAAATTCAGCTCTTCTGTACCTGATGATGGCTGCTTGTGTTGCAACCGAAACGTCGTACGCTATTATGTTACTTTATTATTTCTTATTTATACGTGACTTTACCGAAAAAAACAAAGAGTAATTCCTGCAGTCACGAAAGCTTCGAATCAAGTCTAAGGACCACATGGTTTGGGACACGTCCGCAGGTTTGTATAGTGGTCATCTCGGAGGCAACAGATGTCATGGACGAGCCTGGTCTCTCATTCCAAACCACGTGGCCAACATCGTCGGGATGTCCACGCTAGGGGGAGGGCAGCCAAGTACCGTTTCAGACTGGTCAGATGAATCCGGCTGAATGAGTGAGACCGGAAGGTCGATTCTGCTCATGGGTGACTGCTCGTAGAAATGGTTTGGCCTAACGAATTATAATGAGTTGGGGTCGGGTGGACAGTTTTGGTTGACACTGAGCAGGTGACTGGTCAGTGCGATGGCTGCGTGACTGATAAATCACTGTTTTTGTGTTTAGTTTGTTTTCCTTCGCACCTCCGATTAGTACGATGAGCTACGTACGGTGCGAAAGAGGTTCGACATCCATCCATACATTCACTGTCGGTATCAAACACGTCTTTCCCTGGAGCAAACGCCCAGTCACCGTGCTCAGGTTCAGGCAAGACGTGTCTCCGGTAATGCGACTTTGGCCATGGACTTGTGTCAGACTAAACCTGCTCACGCTTGCCAGGCAGAGTGCATGCACATCCCTATGGCAATTCACCGTACAGTAGACGACACGTGTGTGAGTGCATGTGATGCTGTGTGTAGTGGTGCAGCGATTTTGTATAGCACACTGCAATCCCCTCCTAGGTCGACTGGGCCTCATGAGTAGCTTGTGCAGTGTGTAAGCATCGCCACTCGGGGGACAAAGACGGCCAGGCATCGTGCTGGCCACCCACCCCCTCTTGTGCCGTGCAGACCGTCATAGGTGTTCGCTAACAGCACTTGCCCCAACAATCTGTAAAGGTTATACCAGGAAACATTGTCTTTGTCTGCTGCAGTGTCAAAGTGGGTCAGTCACACGGTTAAAATTACATGAGATGGTATTTCAACGAATTGTTTCTATAATTTCACAATCGCAGATAACTCCTGCTGTACAGCAAGTCCTGCAATAATTGCAATTCTACGAGCGAATCCGCACAGTCATATCTGTGTTTTGTAAACGTATCAATCCTTCAACACAGCGCCTTTGCCTTGCGATGATTACACACAGCAGTCGACCGTTGAGTAACAAACGTCGCAACGGATGCTACGTCTTGTTTAAACCTTTGCCAGGTGTCAACTTTGTCTCTTGTTGCTGTTGTGCAGTGGTCCCAGTCTGGCACATACTGGAGATGCGCAAAGAGCTCACGCTGCACCTGTGGCCACGCAAGGAGGCTCCCCCCGGGGACCGGTGCCAGGTGTGCAGGGTGAACCCCAACCTGAACCCTAACCTGAACCCCAACCTGAACCCCAACCTGACGGCGAACTGCACTTACAACTCAACCGACCTGCACGTCAACCCCAGCGCCAGCATTCACGTGGGGTTCACGTGCCTCGAACCGGAGAAGCATTTTGCCATGAACGCCTCGCTCAAGTACCGTAAGAGTCCACCACTACTCGCCCGACACCGCAATCGGCAGCCAGTCTCGTTCCACTGTTGGATGAGAGGGCCACTCCAGGATGATGATGCCACCCCAAAACTTCCCACAGTCTTTGGGCAGCTGTAATTGGCACACTCCGCTTTGAACCCAACAAACGGAGCACAATTTGTAGCCACGGCAAACATCGCTGGTGATCAATATCCAAACGAGTTCTGGGATCCTCCTTAACAGACCCGTACTAACCGCTGATTGTGACTAAAACATCTTGGAGAGGCCTTCATCCAGCGGTGGATTGAAAAGTTGATGCAATGCTACCATACGCACCTTGTGGATAAGTACCCATTCACCGAACATGACCAAACGACGGCCACCCTTCCCATTGTTCCCCTCCTCTGTCGGGGAGCCCAGTGTTCAACCTCAAGCATCTGGGCCAGGTTTCCATGCGGGTCCCCACGCTGCCCAGGACCTTCCCGCTGTCGCTGGTGGAAGTGAAGTGGAAGCTGATGCTGTCCGCCAAGGGCGAGGAAGGCTCCCTGGAGATCCTATTCCCGACCCCTCGCCCCTCGACCATCAAACCGCCCAGCCAAAGGTACCGACCATATCGCACAATAGCGGCCTCCACGTGCAGCGTGGGGTCCCACTTAAAGTTTTGATTGTTCCTTTTTGTTTCATCAGTTGATGATGTAGTAATGATGCATCGCAACTACAATTTGCATTTACTTGTATTCATATAGCGGAGGCCTTCATCCAGCGCCCTTGTAATAACGGCTTGCGATGTTACGGCGCGGTACAAAATTGTCGATGTTACTACGATGGGTAAATGCGACCGGGTCTCAAGTCGCTGTACAGAGACTGTGCCAAAACGCGCGTTATTTTACCCAACCGTGAAACAAAAGATCTAAGAGTGAGCCCCCATGGCACAAGTAGAGCGTGACTCGTGTGCGTGGTGTTGTGGTTTGCAATAACTGCAGTACGTGCACTCGGCAAGCCGGCTGCTCACCCACCAAGCAGAATGCCACCGCACATAGACGCGAGGGCTTCTGGTGTATAGCAACGCCAACAACCCATTCTCAGAAACTGGGTGTTGTTATTTTTATAACAATGTGTCAAGATGTGGGCACCACGGTGGCGAGATGTTAACTTCATCGCCTCGTATGTAGGAAGGCGTGGGTTCGATCCCGTCCCTGATGCGTGTATATTTGGAGTTTGCGTGTCTCTCTCCCCGTGGTCGCCTGGATTTTTTTCCCCCGGGTCCTCCGGTTTTTTCCTCCGCAGTTAGAATCAACGTGCTTTTTAGAGTATATGGCTGCTATACATTTCCACATGATAAGCCACTTCGTAGAGCTATCATTTGTGGCCTGGTCACTTCTGAAAAAAGAGCTGAATAGCTCGGTCGGCCTTGCCTGGTAAAATAAAAAAATAGTTGAAATTATTCTGAAGCGTTAGCCTCAGTCAAACGGCATTGCATGAGTGACCGTTGTCTGCTCTGAGGCTTTGCCCTCCACCGCCAGGCCACGTGGCGCAATGCCGCGCACTGTCCACCAGGCGACGCCATCACACCACGTTGAGCAAGGCGAACAAGACCGTCACTTGTCGTTTTTTAATTGCTAAACTTTTATTTTATTTTACCACGTAAGGCCCACAGAGCTATCACAACCGACCTGGCCATCACAAATTATTGCTCAATGAAGTGGCTTATCGTGTGGAAATGTATAGCCATCACAGGTCCCTGGTTCCTTTCAGTCAGAATGATCTCTTACTCGACTCTGTACGATAAAAAAAACATTCTCGTGCTACCACCGATTGACAAATTACGTTTCTTGCATATGTGGGTGGTGTTAATAGCCACACATGAAGTTTAACTGTCCGCAATATAGTTTTTTTTGGTTAGATCGCGTAAATATAAAGTGTCGTTAAACCCATCACCACCCGACACAGCCAATTAGTAAGGTTTGTCACGTAAACAAAACGCGCAAATTTGTTACGAGTACAGCACACCGGTGTATTGGAGAGTAAATCCACAACATTTACAGCACACCGGTGTGTTGTACTAGTAATGAATTGGCACGTTTTGTTGAAATGACAAACCTTACTCTTTGGCTGTGTTTGGTGGTGGCGGGTTTAACAACACATTTATATTTACACGATGTAACCCAAAAAAACGTCTTATGGATACTGGTCACGAAAGCCTAGGTGTTAAACTGAAGTTTAACTGTTTAATCATTGAAACGGGAGATGGATTTAAAGACGCTGTTTAGATGTGTGTGTGATGCAGGGGTAGAGGGAGACCAGGGATGACATGAAAGGTTGAGGTGGAAGGAGACGCAGGGATGATGGATGTGACGAGAGAAAAGGCACACAATCGAAGCCTGCCCCCTGTGGTAGTCGGGTTTTCGGCTTAGAAGATGTCGTGATCCATGTTCATAACCCTATAACCTTCTCAACAGGTGATTGAATATTCTTCTTTGGTTCTTTCGGTAAGGTCACGTAGAATGAGAATAAAATAATAATAATAACACAGAGCTCTGTCGTCCCGACAGGTCTGTACCTTTCACCTGAAGACGGCCGCTTGCGTTGTGGCCGAAACGTCGTGATAATTTTATTGTGTTATTTTATTATTTCATTCTTATTCTACGTGACCTTACCGAAAGAACCAAAGAAGATGAATCCTTGCAGTCACGAAAGCTTTAAATTGATTGACTATTGTGAAAGCGGTGGCTCAGTGTTTTAGAGGGCGAACTTAAAAAAAAAATCATGCATCGAGATTGGTGGGAGACACGCAGAGGCTTTTAAGTTGTCTTGTTTTCTCTGTAATATCTCAATAAAAATGGAGTGTTCCATCTATAAATGGATCGGCAAGTAGTTTACCTGAACCCGTCTCGTAACAACGCGAGGCGCTGTCGTTGTGGCCGGCGTTCAACGTCGCAGGCCGCCGGGCGTTGCGGGCGTCTCGAACCGGGCGGGGCCCTGCGACGAGGGGGAGCTGCACATCTTCACGAGCGACTGGGTGGCGCAAGTCATGACGGTCGGCTCCTTCTGCCAGCACGGGGCTGGCAAGGAGGGCGGCCTCCAGAAACTGCTGTCGAGAAACGGCACGTCTGTTCGGCTCCTGTTACCGCCCAAGTCTCGTGCCAAGCGCTCGCCCTATTCCTCCGCCGTGGAGTTCAGCGTATCCTACCTGGCCCAAGAGATTCAAGGCAAGCTCGGCGAGCCGCTTTTGTAACGTCGCCGCGTAGGTTTTTGTGGTTGGGCTCTTGAGCCCTCGGATGGGTTATCGGGTTGCACCGCGCGTTCAACCGGAAAACCACGTCGGAGACCTCGGCGAATAATCTTTGTTCGGCAAAGTACCGGCAAGTGAACTCGTTTGTCCCGCGGATGAGGTGTCGAACGTGGACCTCCACAACCCATTGTCTCGTCCACGTGGCCGCAGATCAATACATTGTATTTTACGAGCTCGGACGCAATGGCTCGGAGGTGGTGCAGAGCGCGGGCTGGCCCCACGGCGTGCCGGACCTCATGTCGGGCAGCTGGCTGGTGAGCACGGCGGCGGTAAAATCCAGGAGCATTCCCGACTACGCCACCAGGGTCACGTTCCTCAACGCGAGCGCGCCCAAGTGCCGGCAGGGCCACGTCACCATGGTCGTGGAGCCCTTCACTTCTGCCCAGCCGCGCCACTCCCTCAACGAGGTCGGCACGCTACACGCGCCATTAACACCGGCTGTGAGGAGCAGGTGGCCCCCTGCTCTGCACAAGCAGTGAACGCGAATGACGAGACTCGCAAACCTGGCGTTTGGCGGCAGCGCGGGCTTACCGTGTCCTTTCCGTGCGGCTTGTCACTTCAGGGAAAGTCGTGGCGAGAGGACGACGCATGGCCCCAGTTGGTTGGGCTCTCCAGCGACACCTTCTACCTAAACTTCTCCAACTGCAAGGTGGAATCCGGCAGTCTTCTCTTCAAGGCACTCATAGAGCCAGGCGTAAAACCACCGCCAGGTAAAGCGCACAGCCGTCCCCGCTACACAACGCAGTCGAACAAAGCCAGGTCGTTAACATGAGAATATTTGTCGGATGCAAGTCTGTGCTCGTGTCAAGTGAGAATATTTTTTTTTGTCACCGACAGACTCCAAGGCGCTGATGATTGGTGGGATAGCTGGCGGCGTGGTCGCCAGCGTGCTGGTGATAGTCCTGGTGACGGTGTGCTGCGTCTGCAAGTGAGCCCCAGACTGATACCTCCCCCACTCCCCCCCCCCCCCCAAAGTCTTTGTTACAACTAAACACAAGGAAGTAGAATATTATTCAGAGCAAACAGCGCTTTTTTGTGTGAACCAGGAGGGATCGTGCAACCTTGGCAATCTCCTGGCTCCCTGTGGGTCGAGGGGGCCACGTGGATAACGCTCGCATGCGACGTCGCGCGAGCGAGAGTGGCGTCGTGTTCACACAAACGTGACGTCATCCACGAACTCGATTTTTGCGAACAAGAGCGGCGAGCGGCCACTTCTCGTGGTAAAATAACCGGCCGCCAAGTTCTTGGTTCTTTCGGTAAAGTCACGTAGAAGGGAAATAATAAAATAAAACAATAAAAACCACAGCAAGAACATTTTCTTGCTGTGGTTTTCACACCTGATGATGGTTGCTTGTGTTGCAATCGAAATGTCGTGAGAATTTTATTTTTTAAAATTATTTTATTATTTCCCTTCTACGTGACTTTCCCGAAAGAACCAAGAATGTGAATCCCTGCAGTCACGAAAGCTTTAAATCGAAATTTGTCCGCCAAGTTGTTCGCCGGGCGCTCGCGTATGCGCCCTGGTGCTCGTGGGCCGGTCAACGCACCGCAGTCCGTGGGCCACGCGTTTCCCACCCCTGGTCTAAAACGCTGCGGTCTACTGGAGGCATAATGACGGCCAACGCACTTGGAGGGATCACATTCTCCTTCACGACCTCCGCTGGATGTATCTGTACCTGTGAGCAGCACCCTGTGGTTGCATTTGAAGTTTGCCGATCCTGCTGAAGCCAATCTCTGAACGACGCCCACAATTCTTCTTGTTCGTCTTCTAAGCCAAAAGTTTCATGACCACGTTGAATAGCCTGCTTGGATGTTTTCACCGTATTGTCCTATTCTGACACTGGCAGTTTACCACGACTGACGCCGCCGCTCCCGCACACAGGAAGCGAAGGCGAAAGCCCCCAAATACGAACGACGCAGGAGGAGATGGAGGCTTTCGGGGGCAGTACGAGGGCTTCGTGCCACGCGGGATGCAGAGTAGACCGACGCGCAAGGCCAGTGACTCCTCCATATACGAGGTACTGCTTCAGCCCCAGCCAACCGGGGGGGGGGTGTGTCATGCAAAACTCGATAACCCGTATAAGTTGAGTGTCCAGCTGGAGGGGCGACTTGTTTCGCATCGTGGGGCGTTGCTCAGCAACGTTCGGGGATGAAGTGTTGCCCCATCGCACACGTGGATTTTCTCTTAAGTGCTCCAGTTTACTCGCACACGTTATGAACTCATTGGCTGTAAAAATCTGAATACATACGCAGCTGGTTGTTGCAGATTGTGACATTCAGTTTGCATGGATAGTGCGATAGAAAAATAGTTGTTTATAGCTTCACATCGAGTTTGGATAGTAAGCCAGCGGACGGATTCAGGAGGAGCAAGCGAATGCGGCGGGCAGTGGCGTTACCACGTGGTCCATGGTTTGAGATTGGTGACCACAGTCGCACTGCGGATGGAAATTTAATCATTAAGGTCACTGCCACCAACCTATGCAGAGTTGAAGCAATGGGCTTTGGGAAGTGTTCAAATTAACGTAACGTGCGTTGTATACACAGTTAAATACGTTGGGTTATCAAGTTTCCCAGGACACCCTTCAATTCAGAGCGCACCACCTCACCGTTTCTGCGGTCACATCCTCTTGAGCAAGGAACACCCCTTCAGGGTTAACTACAAATGAAACTCAGCGAAGCTATTATGAGATAACTTGTTTATATATGAGAATAGGTTTTCCCCTTCTATATATTTTCTCTTGTTAATTTCCCTAGGTCATACCCGACGAGGCTGTCTACAGCTTCCACCAAGCAGAAGACAAGAATCCCCCGACCCCCAACGGACAGGAGCATGTCCTCACCGAAAACGAGTTCTACCGCGCGTTCCACCACCTCTCGCCCCCGCCGCTGCCAAGCCGCAACACGCCGTCCACCTCCATGGAGATGGTGACCTACGACCTGCCCCCCACGGACGACCACGAGGACGACCGAGTGGACGAGGAGGAGCACGGGCGGCAGAATCAGCAACTACGCCCCGGGGAACCCCTACACAACCAAGTAGGGATTCCTGAAGCGACCGATGAAGAAGCCGTACAGAAATAGCAATATAGAGTGAAGGCCGACGTCTCTCCGATGTGTGTCCAGGCTGTGCCGCGTGCTCTTCGGTAGGATGGCCAACGTTTCGCTGCACGTGTTCCCGGAGAAGCTCCCAGCAACGTGGAACAAAAATGTGAGACATCGTGTGGAGCAAAGCGTCGGACGCACAACTGCAAAAACCTAAGCGTTTAGTATCTCCAGACAGGTGCTGTGCTGCTCTCCTGGAGCGCACCTTCCATGAAGGCTTTTTTTTTTTACATGCCGTGTATAAGTGAAGGAGAATGGTGAGACGTTCTATTCAGTTCCTAAAGCTCCCAGCACGTGGAGCAAAATGTCGAACCTTGCGCTGAGCATGTTGGTACAACCCGAAAACGCATCGGAGAGTTATACAGCACAAAAATCCATCGTGGAGAAATGTGTGTCCCGTGTGTAAGCTACAAGACTGTTATCATCTTGACCCAGAGTAATTTAAGGAATGTGTTTATTCGTTTTCCCATATTAACAGTTGAAATAATTGGCCAAACTTTCTCAAAACCCTCCACCTGTCTACCCAGGAGTATAAATGGGCACACGACAGTTCGTTGATCGGGAAGCCGCGTGTGGTGGGGAAAAGTGTGGGTACACTGTCATCTCTTCCAAGACATCTGGCCATTGTGGAAGAGGTCAACAATATCCTGGAGAGTGGCTCCAGTGAGCTCCTCTCGAGGTCATTCCACCAGTGGTGTAAGAAAATGCAGGGCTCCGCCTTTGTTTTTAATGAATACAAAAGTTTTATTTTAAGTTAAAAACATTCTCACAATCTTTACACTTTTTTTAAATTCCAATGTACAGCAGAAACTCAAAGTAGGTATAGACAAGGTTGATTTGTTTACAAAGTGTCGTTTTATCATTTGAAATGTGTACATAAGAAACTGCGTTAGCAGAATAGTAATAATGCGTCAACTTTGTGTGTGAAAAACTAGCACACCGTGTGCCTTCCTGTGTACGAGTTCCTCATGGGAACTATTTAAAATGTCGTTTTGCTGCCGTGTTGTGAGTTTACCCTGAATAAAAAATTAAACTTTTTCTCGGTACACCTCGTTGCTAGTAAAACACTGCAGGACACAGTCATACGGCCAGTGATGCGGTTGACCGTGTGACAGACGATCCTCGAGCCGGTTCAATTCTCGTCCAGGAAGAAGGAAACGTTCAGCAGAACATCTGCAGGGAAACCGGTGCAGAATGCAAGCGTGATTCACGGGCGATACAGCAACAGCATGGGACAAACGTCGACACGATATTTCTAATCCCTGGCACGTCAACCATAATTTTCCAGTGGGCCATGGAATAAAACCAGTGTGCGCGAGCCGGCAAACCACGTCTTGTAGAATGTCCTTATGTTTTCACGACAATGTTGCACGCACAGGCTTTTTCAATGTCTGGACAAGTAAACATTAACCTCCACCTGTTTTCTCCCAGGTCTCTGATGTATTTGATTCCGATAATATTTCTCTTGTCTCCAGCTCTCTCAACTCCATCTCGTTTATCGTTCATCTCACTAACCTGTACCGGAGCTCGGTCGGCCACCAAAATAAACTTTGGGCCACCAGATTAAAAACTCCGTGCCAATAATAGCATAACAGATGTCTACAATGCTAGCCAAACACTTGCTAGGACTCTAAAGAATAAATACAATAAAACAATGTGGGCTCTCTAAAGGAGGCCTCTTCCACCAGCAGTGGCGTGAGCGACCTTTTTTATTGTATAAATGTGACATCACTAGAAGCTGGGGACATTGACAGGGGAAAAGAGTAAGGTGTCGAATATAGACAAACAGGCAGGGAGTCAAACGCATGGACGGCTGGGGGAAGGGAGTTCCAGACAATGAGGGCAGCAGAGGATAATGGAGCAACCTCTCGCGGAGCAAAAGTTGACTGGGGGCTTCAATAGATGCGTTCATGTGAAATGACACTACTTGCCCTTTGAAATGTTTGAGATGAGATGTCTATGCGTTGAACTTCTTTCACACCGTACGTAGCCAACTGTGGTAGTCGGTGGTGTGGAGGAAGGACAACAAACTAAACCAAGAAATAAGTTCTAAAGAAACGAGTTTGTCAATATTGACGATTTAAAAGTGCATCGCTCCATGTGGCTTCCAAACATCAGACGAGCATTCCAGACGGCCGCAGAAGCGCAACTGAAAGCGCGCGATGCAGATGTGATGCAGGTTCACTCGTCGCTGTATGCAAGCACGCCGAGAGGCCCCGCCGTAAAGGGCGCGATATCAAAAACTTAAAATGTTCACGACTACTCGCCGTGAATGAAGTCGCTGTCTCGCTTGGAGGAGAGACGAGCCCAGGCCTGCGGGAGGCCCTGGATGTAGCCCAGGTCCTGCTCGCCGACCCTCTGCAGCAGCAGCCTTCGCTTCACGAACCTGACGCAGTGTCGGCGGTCGTTAAGCTCCACGTGCGAAACAAATTGATCGAGTCGAGATAAACTGCAAAGCCCCTAAACCTGTAGAAATGTTAGAGCTGTGGTATCTTAAAATGGGACGTGTGCAGTGAAAACGAACGTGAAGAGTATTGTCTAACGATGCCTCAATTCATTGATCACACGTAAGAAATCCATCGATTATGCTTCAGCAACAAGAGAAGTAGGTTTATAGGTAGCCGATATTTATGATTCAATTAACCAACTTCTAAGTGAGGGTTAAACATATTACAGCAACCCAATGGGTGGCATTAATGATAAACAGAATATAGTCAAAAATGACAGAACTATAAAAACCATTTGATTTTTTTTTATTTTACCAGGTAAGGTCCACTGAGCTATGTAGCTCTTTTTCAGCAGCAACCTGGCCACAAATGATAGCTCAACGAAGTGGCTTATCACGTGGGAATTTATAGAAGTCAAAGACTCAAAACGCATGTTTATAAATATGGGGGGAAGAACCGGAGAAAAAATCCACGTGACCACGGAGAGAACATGCAAACTCGAAATATACAGGGGTCGGGATCGAATCCACGAGGTACTCCATACCAGGTGAGGTAGTTAACATCTCTCCACCTCAGCACCCCTCAACAATGTGATGAGGATCAAGTTAAGCTCCAGATGTCACATTTGGAAGTAAACTATGCCCCTCACAACAACAAAAATTAGTTCGAGGACCACGTGGAATAACTCACATTCACTGAACTGTCTACTCAATGTCAACACAAATGAAATAGCAAGATCATGGAATGCAGCTTCATTCTTCTATTCGAAATAGGAGACCAAACTTGACGAATCATTGGCCTGTATCACACAAAGTTTTTCACGAACATCGCTGGAACAAAATAATTCACAATTTAGAAGCCAGCCAACTTGCAATTACAAAACACTGAGCACATTTTTAATAGCACTGCCTTAAATTGAAAAATACATAATACTCGATGTTTAGAATATTATTAAGGCCCTTCATATTTTAAAGAAGTGTAATTGACGAATGTCTAGGGTTTTTCCATTTGTGCATCACTGCCAACGCAGCAGTACCACCAAATAATTTGAATTGAGGAAAGGTTTCTCTACCCATCGACCACGCATAACCAATCACATTCTGGAAGAGACTCTTAATCCTAATGTCAACGTGTAACACGCACAGTATATGCTCACTCTGATGAGAGAACGACTCGGAGGGGTTAGGAACCACAAACAAGCGGGAATGTAGCTACATGATGAGCCGGTGGCAACAATTACCTAAGCTCTGTAGTGCTCTAGATATTAAGGTGTCATCAGTTAATTAATCAGTGTCTAGATGTGGGAGGCAATCGGTGCACCTGGAGAAAATCCACGCGTGAGAAAGGGAAACACTCTATCCCGTACAGACGGAACAGGTGAAGTCAACATTTTTACTGTATCGCCTTCTCCTGGCAAGCCAGGGTCATGACACCCAGATGCCCACGGGATGGAAGCTTCACAACGTTTGCGCGAACCACCAAAGCTCGCTCTCCACAGTGTTGGATAACAGGCTAACACGTATGAAATATCATTACGCCCGGCTTTTGTGACTCTGAAAAGGCGTTTAAACTCGGTGGAAATTGACCGTCATTTGCAGGTCACTCTTTACGTACGACCCCGGACGGGTGGCATCGCCGTCGTATGGTCGCTGCGTCGCCCGGCAGCGACGACCGCGGGAGGGGAGGATACTCGAGGCGCCGCATCCGCTCCACATCCTGCAGCCACGCGAGCATGTCGGCCAGCGATGGCCGCAGGGCCGTGCGCTGCAGGCAGGCGGCCAGGGCGGGCGCGTCCCTCTCGTATGTGGCCCAGCAGGTGCCGAACTCGCCGCTCAGATGGTCCCGCAACTCCTGCAGAACCTTCCTGTGAAAAAGCGACAGGCCCGCTCTCATCATCTGCAGCATCCCACGGCAGATAATGAGGCTTACCGCAGCCTTCGCTCGGAGGTTCGGAGAACCATCAGGCGCTGTAAGAATGGGTTGCTGAGGAGATGGAGTCTGCCTCAATGGCCCACGATCACAAATCACTATTGAACTCCTTCAAAAAAGTAACCTGCAGCACCACACCTATTACCATCATTAGGGAAAAAAACGGTGATCCAATCTCCGACCCCCAGGAACAAGTTTGCAGATTTGCTGAGCATTTATGTGAAGTCCTGGGGGAGGGGAAATCCCTCGGCATAGAAAACATCGTGGGACAAAGTGGGGATGATCCTGCTGAAACTGCAGTGTCTCAAATATTGGAAGAAGTCACCGCCTGTGAGTGGCTGGCTGAAGTGCCATCTGTTGAGGAAGTACTAAAGGTGATCCAGAGTCTCAGACAAGGAAAGGCAACGGGCAGAGATGATCTCCCAAGCAGTCTGGACCACTGGACGGGTTCCACAGGATTGGAAGGAGGCCCTGGTGGTCCCCCACTTTAAGAAGGGGGACCGCACAGACTGTAACTACAGGGGCATCTCACTCCTCAGTGTGCCGGGAAAGGTCCTGGCAAGGATTATTCAACATCGCCTTGCCAGGCACGCTGAGAAGAAGCTTGCGGAGACCCAATGCGGTTTCAGGAAAGGGCGGTCATGCACAGATGCCATATTTTCTGTCCGTCTTCTACAGCAGAGGTGTAGGAAATTACAACAAGACCTACATCTCTGCTTTATTGACCTGCTCAAGGCCTATGATACCATCAGTAGGCCTCGGCTCTGGGTTAGTCTTCGTGCTTTTGGAGTCCCTGACCCTCTGCTCACGATCATTAAGGACCTTCATGATGGTGAGCGGGCCCGGGTACAACTATGTGGCCGGGAGTCGGAGACACTCCCTGTTCACCTTTGGGTGTGACAGGGCTGGCCTCTGGCTCCCACATTATTTAACATCTTTTTCGACCACGTAGTTCGTGAAGCCTTTGATGGCTGTACCAGAGGAATTTCCATCTGGTACAATGGAAGGCTGATCGCTGCCCAGGTGCGGTCAGGGATGGTTCCCTATTGGTCAACCAGGTTATGTTTGCTGATGATCTGGTAATTGCTGGAGGAGGAGTTGGAGGCGCTGCTGCTGAACCTGGAGCGTGCCACTAGGAGGTGGGGCCTTACCATCAGCCCCACCAAAACTAAGCACCTGCCTGGGCATATTGTACCATCGGGCACTCCACCCCCACAACTCCCGATTGGTGATGGGGCAGTTGTGGAGAGAGTGGAGAGTTTCCCATACCTGGGCAGTGTGCTCATGACCGGCTCTGGTTTGACAGTAAAGGTCTCACTCCGAATCAGTTGAACGTCATTTTCTTTTAATTGGTTGCATAACGCTGTGTGGAAGCTACCTGGTCTGTCGCTCCGCACGAAGCTTCAGGTCTTCTCGGCCACAGTCATTCCCTCCCTTCTCTACGCTTGCGAAACGTGGACCCCCCTAATGGAACATCTTCACCGGTTGGAAACATTTAGGCTGGCCTGCCTACGATCCATCCTGGGTTTAACCAGGCTGGATTGTGTAAGGAGCTCAGAAATCCTTGAAAGATCTGGACAAAGTCGCATCGGTGAGCTCCTCCGGCAGGCAAGGCTGCGTTGGCTGGGTCATGTAGCCCGCATGCCCAGTCACCGCATGCCTAAACAGCTTTTGTTCGGCTAGATAGAGGGGGCTAAACGGGCACGGCATGGGTTAGAGAAGAGATGGAGTGATGTGGTACAGGAGGATGTGGAGCTGAGTGGACTTGCCGGTACCAGCGGTGTCAAGATCGGCCTCTGTGGAGGAGGCTCGTGAAGGACGCTACTGGACAGTTGGAGGCAGTCGCCTTCCAACAACAACGGAGGGCGGAGGAGCGACGCTCGCAACAATGAGCGGAGCGCCGGGTGGCTAAAGCACAGCAAGTTGGCACAGTAGGGAGCACAGGTGGTGCATCAGCCAGTCGACTCGTGGCACCTGGGTTTGCCCCGTGACCTCCTGCCAGAGGGCGTTTGACACTTCACGTGTCCTCAACGTGCAAATATCCTGGCACAAGCGCCGTGGTGATGTCACCGCCACTTAGTGGCAAATGGCGGTTGTTGTGTTGTTGTTGTGTGTCACCGACACAGCTCTCCACGCAGTGGACATTCGGAGAGGCAGTCGTGCAGCCCTGCAATTAATTGCTTGCTTGAGTCACTTGCTGGCGTAAGGGACCTCCAGTTCACCTTTTAATAATTAATGCACCAACATGTTCTACAGGTACAGGAATTTGGCCTACTCTTCCACACTGGCCAAACCGACCGGACGACTAACAGTGGTAGATATCTATACGACTGCGTGCACAGAGGCGAGAGAGGGGTCGATCAAACTTGCCCCAATGTTTCGACGGACGCGCCAGGATTCACAAAGTAACTGTACGTTTACATGTACGGTACTCTATGAAATAAACAAAACTTAAACTTAGTTTAGGCGATGTTCTTGGCTGGGTTATTAACAAACAAATATTAGGTGAGGCTACCGATTTTTTTTTTATAACATTCAAAAAATTATTCATGCAAGATCTCTTGATGTGGAGCATCTCGAACGCAAGTGTCCCCCGGGCGTCAAATGACACGTCCACAGCAAGATGTTAACTACCTCGCCTGGTGTACAGGAGGTCGTGGGTTCGATACAGACCCTGACGCCTGCTGCTGCTGTATATTTGGAGTCTGAGTCTCTCTCTCTCTCCCCGTGGTCGCATTGATTTTACTCCGGGTCCTCTGGTTTTTTCCTCCACATCTAAAATCAACGTGCCTTTAGAGTATTTGGCTGCTATAAATGTACACAAGCGATAAGCCACTTCGTTGAGCTATCATTTGCGATAGGCAGGTCGCTTCTGAAAACAGGTCCCTGCAGGGTGGGCTGGTAGGAACATTGGAATTTTTCACTTCGTTAAAGTATTGAAAGGGGACGGACGGACACATTAATCTATTGCAGGCTGGTACACTCAGTTTACAACTTCGTTCCTACCAGTAAAAGAGCTACATAGCTCAGTGGGCCTTACCTGGGAAATTTAAATTAAAAGGTCACGTTAAAATAGTGACACGTGCGGTATTGACGCGCAAACATTTGAAAATGATCTCTGCTCCTTTCGACGATGCGCTTGAATTTCACGGCCCCCCGGCCCCCCGTGAAAGGCCGTGAGCCACACTGGACTCGTGATTGATGTTCTTGGAGGTCCTTCGGCACTTGTGTTTCGTTGGGACTGCTGCTGCCCCCCACCGCCCCCCAATGTTACTACCACCGTCGCTGGCACTCGCTAAAGCCGATACTAAAACAGGTCCCTGCAGGGTGGGCTGGTAGGACAAGTCTCTGCGCTGTCTATTGCTGATTTTACACCCAACAGCACGAGATTTCACTTCGTTAAAGTATTGAAAGGGGACGGACGGACACATTAATCTATTGCAGGCTGGTACACTCAGTTTACAACTTCGTTCCTACCAGTAAAACTGTCTCCCATCAACCATAGACAACACCGCATTGTCTTCCCCTGCGATACTCTCGATTGGGATTGTGCGAAAAACACCATTTGAAGATTGTTATTGCTTCGAAACAATCTCGAAACGTTCATCTCCCGGTGTTAATTTCTCTCACCTTACGAACGAAAACTATTGACAAGACTCTGCCTCTTAGTATAGACACGATGCTTATTACTTGCTCTATAAATATATTTATTCAAGAAGATATTTTAAAATCATACAAAAAAAACACATGGTCATTTATTTTATTTTCGGAGGCCCTTTTAGGTTGTGGGTAGGCCCGAGGCCTGCCGGGTGTGTGAACAAGGCCCTGTCGGACTCACATCTGCTCCTCCACCCTGGCCAGCAGCTCCTCCATGGCCTGGGCGATCTTGTAGCCGAGCCGGGGGCCCAGGTCGGGGAAATCCCTCAGTGGGGTCGCGTCCAGGTCGACGTCGCGCAGACACCGCAGCTGCTCGGCCCTGTTGGCCAGCGAGGCGAGCGGGGCCTCGCACGACGCCACGGCCGCATCCCACGCCCGGGAGTCGCGCCGCGCCACGGCCAGGGCCCGTCTCAGTGAGGCCTCCGCGCCGGCGAGCGGGGCCCGAGGTGGCAACGAAGGCGACGATTCCGGCGTGGCCCGCGACCTTCCGCACTTCATGATGCCGCCGCCGCCGCCGCCAATGTTTCGTCGACGACCCTCGGGTCGCGTGCGGACGAGCGACGCTCCACCCGGCTGAGTTCGCCTGCGCGCGAGGTCACCACCTCGATGGCAGTCCACCGCACCGGAGTCTACCTGCGCTGGCCGCCGCCTGCCGCTGCCTGCTCGAAGTTCAGCGCGAGTCCAATTCACGAGTGCACTGGAACGTTGTCGCTCGCGTGTCCCGAGGAGTGTCGCCTCGGGCGCGACGGTGGCGCTGGCAGAGAGAGAAGTTGAGCGCCGAGACGACGCACAGAGAGCACGGCGGGGAGGTCGAGAGGAGCGCGGCGGTGATCGAGAGACGACGAGCGGAGAAGAAGTGTGTGGAGACGACAGCGGGCACCGACCGGGCATTTGTGGAAACTACTGCGCATCTGTGAAAGGCCGCTTCATCGTGATACCAGTGGGGGGGACGGTGAGATGGAGGGAGATCTTGCCTGGAGCCGTGAGCTCGCGACCCGCTACTGTCTGTCTCCACGTGTCGACTGTCTGTCTCCAGTCTCCACGTGTTGACTGTCTGTCTCCACGTGTTGACGATCTCCATACACAAGGGGGGGGGGGGGGTCAGAGGTCGCGGCGGACGGCGACTCGCGCGGCGGCTCGCGCGCTTCGTTATTCACACAGAGAACGAAACATCGCGAACATCACCACAGTCAGCAGTAGTAACATCACCACAGCGGTAACATCACAGCAGCGGTAACATCACCACAGCGGTAACATCACCACAGCGGTAACATCACCACAGCGGTAACATCACAACAGCAGTAACATCACCAGGGTCAGCAGCGGTAACATCACCACAGCGGTAACATCACCACAGCGGTAACATCACAGCAGCGGTAACATCACCACAGCGGTAACATCACCATAACGGTAACATCACCACAGTCAGCAGTAGTAACATCACCACAGTGGTAACATCACCAGGGTCAGCAGCGGTAACATCACCACAGCGGTAACATCACCACAGCGGTAACATCACCACAGTCAGCAGTAGTAACATCACAACAGCAGTAACATCACCAGGGTCAGCAGCGGTAACATCACCACAGCGGTAACATCACCACAGCGGTAACATCACAGCAGCGGTAACATCACCACAGCGGTAACATCACCATAACGGTAACATCACCACAGTCAGCAGTAGTAACATCACCACAGTGGTAACATCACCAGGGTCAGCAGCGGTAACATCACCACAGCGGTAACATCACCACAGCGGTAACATCACCACAGTCAGCAGTAGTAACATCACCACAGTGGTAACATCACCAGGGTCAGCAGCGGTAACATCACCACAGCGGTAACATCACCACAGCGGTAACATCACCACAGTCAGCAGTAGTAACATCACAACAGCAGTAACATCACCAGGGTCAGCAGCGGTAACATCACCACAGCGGTAACATCACAGCAGCGGTAACATCACCACAGCGGTAACATCACCATAACGGTAACATCACCACAGCGGTAACATCACCACAGCGGTAACATCACCACAGTCAGCAGTAGTAACATCACCACAGTGGTAACATCACCACAGTGGTAACATCACCAGGGTCAGCAGCGGTAACATCACCACAGCGGTAACATCACCACAGTCAGCAGTAGTAACATCACCACAGTGGTAACATCACCACAGCGGTAACATCACCACAGCGGCAACATCACCACAGCGGCAACATCACCACGGTCAGCAGCGGTAACATCACCATAACGGTAACATCACCATAACGGTAACATCACCACACTCTGCAGCGGTAACATCACCACAGTGGTAACATCACCACAGCGGCAACATCACCACACTCAGCAGTAGTAACATCACCACAGCGGTAACATCACCATAACGGTAACATCACCACACTCTGCAGCGGTAACATCACCACGTCACCGTCACGAACATTAACATCACATCGTTAAGGTCACCAATATCATTACGAGCTTCATCACCACATCATCAAAATGACCACTACGTTACCTTCACCCAGGACTAGCACCACCAACATCACCACGTCACCATCAACAGCACTAACATTGATACCAAATCAGCATTAACAGCACGAACATCACCACACCACCATCACATCACAACTACACCCACAGCAGCATAAAAAAACATCACATCAGTAGCACGTCACACCATCACATCTCCCCACCCCCCATACAATGTTAGACCGTACTATGCACACCAGATTATTGACAACACGACCACCGCCGTCATGGATGGATGGTTCACCTACCTAAATGTCCACCTCCTACAACTCCGGTTGTCCTATGGATAGTCTTGCTCCGTCACATGAATGTGGAATTTCCACAATTGGCTCAGAGCCGTGAAAATATTCGACTTACCTGGCAGCAGTACGAAGAGAATCAAATGACATAAAAAACACCATAAATATAAAATCTTGATTTGAAGCTTTCGTGACTACCGTCAAAGATTTGTCCATGAAGCCATCCAGATATATAAACACTGAGACAATTTCAACCGAGAAGATGGGTACACGCTGAGCAATCATTGGAAGGACGTTATTAACCAAGCAAAGTCGTCACTTGCCGTGGTGCTTCCATTCTTCCCTGCCGTTTGGCTGTTATCTCCGACTCTCCGAGTTGCATTGCCCTGTTGGGTGCCTCCGCATTAACGGGCTGGGATCTCACTAGCATGGCCACCTCTGCTCCCTTAGCCTCGATGTATCGATGGTTGTGGCTGTGTGATGGGCTCTGTGTCTCACTGGCGCGACCACCGTTGCGGTGGTTCTCTTGCGAGGACGCGCTCGCCTCTCACAGCGCAGTTGGCAGCGCCGCAGCAGCTTGTGTTACACGTAGACTTCACATTAACTTGCTAATCCCCCCGCCTAATCTCTCCCATCAACATTGTGCTAATCTCCCATTAACACTGCTGTTGTGCGCATATGCCACTATACTCTTATGCGGAGACGGAAGTTCATTTCATGCTAATCTCTCTCCCTAATCTCTCTCTCCAAAATCTCCCCCATTAACACAACTGACGTGCTTGTGTCCGGGGATGGAATTCCTTTCCAGCTGAGACCCCGCTTGCTTGCCCATCGCCACATAAATAACCTCTTATTTTCTTTGGTTCTTTCGAAATAACCAAAGAAGATGAATCCTTGCAGTCACGAAAGCTTCAAATCAAAATTTAACCTCTTATTGTAATAGCTCTCTCGCTGGTTCAGCAGTTCCACTGCTGGATTATTTTTTCCCGCCTGAGGACGACCGCTTGTGTTGCGATTGAAACGTCGTGTTATATTATTTTTTGTTTTATTTAATTTTTCTACCTACGTCACTTTACCGAAAGAACCAAAGAGTACCATAAATACAATTTACACCAGTTTGCCAAAACATCGACCTTTATTTTATATTTCAGAAACAGTTTAAAATAAATCCAGTTATAATTATTACTTAACGTGTTATTGAATACATTCATGAGGCAGCAACTTTATTTGGAGACGGGGGCTGCGTGTCACCCGCATTTTTAAGGTGGCACGTGCTGTTACCGGAGGTCACAATTCCAGACGTAAATCCAAACACAATTGCGACAAACCACGGCCTCCAGGCAGTGACAACTCCATGGCTCCAGTTCGGAGAGACTACGAACTCTGCCCCGGGTTTTCCAGTCTGAGGTTATAATACGTGCAGGTAGATTGACCAAGAAACTGGACTCCGTTGGCAGTGGCGTCATCATCATCGCTAGAGGCCCATGGATTCGCATGGACACCCATTCGTGTAGAGACCCATAAACTCACAGAGAGACCAGTAGACTCGGATAGAAATCCAGAGACTCGCATAGAGACCCACTGACAATTTGGAATGTGATGATAGTGACTTAATCACCACAAAAGGTGACAGCCTGAGCAGCTTTCCGAGAGAACTGGTGTGCTGGCTGCCCAGTAGTGGCAGATTATCACCACAAGTTGTCTTTGCATTTCAGTTATCAATTCGTCCACCTGCATATGTTACCTGAGATTGGAAAACTTGAATTGTACTTTGTAGCTTCCGCTGGTGGGAGCCATGAGCTGTTGGAATCCAAGAATGAGAGCACAAATCGTAACCATTTACAAATATTTCGTTTCTCAGAGCTGGTATTTAGCCAGACCAAGGGAATACAAAACTTAAAATGCCTTGGCTTATTTTGTGCAGTCATTGGTGACTGGGCTGAAACCATCAACTCGTTACACTTGAGAAGCCGGTTGACTCACGGGCAGCTGCGCCTGAATTTGAACCCAGAATTTCAGCAGTTGCCAGCCAAGCGCTCTGACCTACGAGCCGTTTGGCCATCTCCCGCAAATAATGACCTGAAACACCGCGCGACCTGACGTCCTGCCCCTCGCATCACTCCCTGGAGAGAAGAGGCAAGACACTTTACTGTGGCCATTGCCCCTTGGGGGGTGCACGGCCAATTAACACTGCTGTTGAACACGTGGGAAATGGACCTTGAGGAACACTGGGAAGAAGCTTACAACAATAATATAGGTCTTCTGTGGCGGTGCTGCTGCCGGCCTGTCATAACGTTGTGCATGCAAGCACCACCAGGCAATTTGTGAGGTAAGACGTGGGCCTCCAACTGGAACAATTGCATGCAGTGGCCGTAGCGTAGTTGGCACAGGCCCTGGTGCAAAAAAATAATAATATGGGGCTACCCCCTGGCCAATTTTCCTCCCTCCTCTTCGTAGCCCTGGCATGCGGGCTCCTTCCCACCTGCGGGGGCCCCAGTGCGATTGCACCGCCTGCATACTCGATAGCTACACCACTGCAAAAACAGAGCCAAGCATCTGCAGCCACGACAAAAGCAAAGAACGCTTTGAAATGCTCCATCTCTCGCCCAGCGCAACGTCAACAAAGTGTACATCCCGACCAAACGACAGAGATTCCCTTGCACTCCCTCTGACTTGCATACCTCACAAACTGTTTCACATTTTACTCCCCTAACGTAAAACTAAACATTTAATAAACATACAAGCGCTTTGGTGCTGCATGTCCTTGTCTTGAAAGTTTGTGTAGCTGTGAGGAGGCCAGCTGTGGGGAGGTGGGTGTGAGGAAGTACATGAGGAGAGGGAGGTGAGGAGAGGTGAGTGTGAAAAGGTAGGTGTGCAGAAGTAGGTGAAGAGACGTGGGTGAGGCGATGTGGGTGAAGCAACGTGGGTGAGGAGACATGTGTGTGTGTGTGTGAGGGACAGCTTTGCGGGAGAGGGCAGCTAGACTAAGGAGGCAATGCCACCGCGCTCCAGGCAGACGTCACCCTCAGTGGGGAGCGTAGGAGTCCACGTCCTTTTGCTGAGTCTTTTTTTTCTGCTCCTTTGCGCGCAGCCTGAAACAATAACAACAAGAAGAGAGCGCACGCCATCAGCTGCAGCAGCTGCGTGAAGGAGGCCCGACTCGCCGTGGCCGCAGGGGAGACATCGTCCTCTTGCCACTGCGGTTTGTGGATAAAACGTCGCGGCCTTCCGCTCGGGTGACGTGTGCCGGACTGACCGGGCGCAGGCCAGTGAACAACTAGGACAACCGCCTGCACTTTTTCCGCAAAAAAAATTTCCACGTAAATTA